ATTTTTTTTCAAATGAATTCTCCAAAGTGCGGAGATTAAAAAAAAATTTTTTTTTTCAATTTAAAAATTCATTCCGCCGACCCTAACTGCGACTAAAGGATGAAATTTGTGCCAACGTGTTGAGCATTTAATACTCAATAAGTGACACAAATTTTATCCCTTAGGGCCAGTTAGGGAGGGAGGAGTGAATCTTTTAAAGTGTGAAGAGATGGAAAAAAAATTCAATTCAAAAATTCATTCCTTCCACCCTAACTGCGACTAAGGGATGAAATTTGTACCAACGTGTTGAGCATTTAATACTCAATAAGTGACACAAATTTTATCCCTTAGGGCCAGTTAGGGAGGGAGGAGTGAATCTTTTAAAGTGTGAAGAGATGGAAAAAAAATTCAATTCAAAAATTCATTCCTTCCACCCTAACTGCGACTAAGGGATGAAATTTGTACCAACGTGTTGAGCATTTAATACTCAATAAGTGACACAAATTTTATCCCTTAGGGCCAGTTAGGGAGGGAGGAGTGAATCTTTTAAAGTGTGAAGAGATGGAAAAAAAATTCAATTCAAAAATTCATTCCTTCCACCCTAACTGCGACTAAGGGATGAAATTTGTGCCAACGTGTTGAGCATTTAATACACAACGAGTGACACAAATTTCATACTTCAGCACCTGTTATGGAGGGAGGAGTGAATTTTTGAAAGAGCGAAGAGATTGAAAAAAATTTTTTTTTTCAAATGAATTCTCCAAAGTGCGGAGATTGGAAAAAAATTTTTTTTTTGAATTCAAAAATTCATTCTTCCGACCCTAACTACGACGAAGGGATGAAATTTATGCCAACGTGTTGAGCATTTAATACTCAATAAGTGACACAAATTTCATACTTCAGCACCTGTTATGGAGGGAGGAGTGAATTTTTGAAAGAGCGAAGAGATTGAAAAAAATTTTTTTTTTCAAATGAATTCTCCAAAGTGCGGAGATTGGAAAAAAATTTTTTTTTTGAATTCAAAAATTCATTCTTCCGACCCTAACTACGACGAAGGGATGAAATTTATGCCAACGTGTTGAGCATTTAATACACAACGAGTGACACAAATTTCATACTTCAGCACCTGTTATGGAGGGAGGAGTGAATTTTTGAAAGAGCGAAAAAATTGAAAAAAAAATTTTTTTTCAAATGAATTCTCCAAAGTGCGGAGATTGAAAAAAAATTTTTTTTTTCAATTCAAAAATTCATTCCTCCGACCCTAACTGCGACTAAGGGATGAAATTTGTGCCAACGTGTTGAGCATTTAATACACAATACGTGACACAAATTTCATCCCTTAGCACCTGTTAGGGAGGGAGGAGTGAATTTTTGAAAGCGCGCGGTCGCCCCCTGAAAAGGAAAGGAGTGGAATTATTGGAGAATCAAGGATTTCCGTCGTTGGATTTTTTGGGGCCCTGAAAAGGGCCGTTGGGCTTAAGGATTTGGCCCTGAAAAGGGCCGATGGGCTTAAGGATTTGGCCCTGAGAAGGGCCAATGGGTTCGTGGATGGAGATGGGATGCTCAGCACAGGTTTTCAAAAAGACCACCGTCATTTTCTAAGCATAGTTCTGCACGACGAACTATAGCTTGGCGAGCATTCTCCAACTGCTGCTGCGTCAGATCAGCTACTGCTCCATGCAGGCGGGCCACCAAATCCTCCGGATCGTTGACTACCTGCGCATAAATTTTTTCTTTGAGAGTTCCCCAAAGAAAAAAATCTAGGGGCGTCAAATCTGGTGATCTGTGGGAGAAATAGTAATTTGATTTTAAACAGCGCACGATTATTGGAAGATTAGAGATACTCGTCACTTACCGAGGAGGCCAACGAACTGGTCCAGCTCTCCCGATCCATCTCTCTGGAAACCATTGGTTCAGCATTCCGGTGACTGCTCTGGTGTGATGAGCAGGAGCACCATCTTGCTGAAACCACACACCTCTGTTTCCTGGGCCATCTCCGAGCAATTCCGGTAAGGTTTCGTCCAGAAACATCAGATAGTTCTCCCCGTGAAAAAAAAAATCTGGAATGATGATCTTTCAATTGAAAGAAAACAATTTTAATTATCTTTGTCATGATAAATAATCGATACTTACATTGAGTGGNTTTCCGTCGTTGGATATTTTGGGGCCCTGAAAAGGGCCGTAGGGCTTAAGGATTTGGCCCTGAAAAGGGCCGATGGGCTTAAGGATTTGGCCCTGAGAAGGGCCAATGGTTTCGTGGATGGAGATGGGATGCTCAGCACAGGTTTTCAAAAAGACCACCGTCATTTTCTAAGCATAGTTCTGCACGACGAACTATAGCTTGGCGAGCATTCTCCAACTGCTGCTGCGTCAGATCAGCTACTGCTCCATGCAGGCGGGCCACCAAATCCTCCGGATCGTTGACTACCTGCGCATAAATTTTTTCTTTGAGAGTTCCCCAAAGAAAAAAATCTAGGGGCGTCAAATCTGGTGATCTGTGGGAGAAATAGTAATTTGATTTTAAACAGCGCACGATTATTGGAAGATTAGAGATACTCGTCACTTACCGAGGAGGCCAACGAACTGGTCCAGCTCTCCCGATCCATCTCTCTGGAAACCATTGGTTCAGCATTCCGGTGACTGCTCTGGTGTGATGAGCAGGCGCACCATCGTGCTGAAACCACACACCTCTGTTTCCTGGGCCATCTCCGAGCAATTCCGGTAAGGTTTCCTCCAGAAACATCAGATAGTTCTCCCCCGGAAAAAAAAAAATCTGGAATGATGATCTTTCAATTGAAAGAAAAAAATTTTAATTATCTTTGTCATGATAAATAATCGATACTTACATTGAGTGGATCAGGAGCTAATCGAATGTGCACCTCATCATTCAAAATTGCACCCCACACATTCAGCCTTTGCCACTGGTGCTGGAAAGAATGAGCCCTGGCAAGGTGGGGATTCTCTAATGCCCAATGGTGATAATTGTGCATGTTGAAAATTCCCTGCCTTGTGAAACAGGACTCATCTGTCCAACACACATTGAACAGAAAATGAGGATCGCGTCGATGATTCTCGAGGATAAATCGACAATACTCGATGCATGCCTCAAGATCTCCCGGCATCAGCTCCTGTGTAGGGCACAAATGTAAGGGTGGAAGCCTTCTTCCTTGATGATGCGGAACACCTTGGTACTATTCGTATTAAGGTGTCCAGCAATCCTCCTTACACTTGTCGTGGGGTCGTCCTCGATTTCGTTGAGGACTGCCTCTTCCAGATCATCTCGACCACGTCCGATAGGACGTCCTTCGCCACGGCAAGGAAGAAGACAACCAGTTGCTGCCATCCGCTCATGAAAGAGAGGAAACACCCGATGATCGGGTGCCCGACGATCAGGGTATCTCTCCCTGTACCTCTCCGCTGCTCGTCTGGCAACTCCACCACACTCACCATACACAAAATGCATATCGCGATATTCTCGAGCAGTGAACGCCATTGGCACGATAAAAGCTACGAACGGAATCACGAGGCAAAATGATCGGAATGGAAATTGGGCTTCCCTCAAAAACAATACACGATCGTCAGTTGATGTTGTCATGAACGGCGGAGGGGGAAAAAAAGAGATCAAACAATTGACGACGCCTTGTATATGAGCAAAAGAGGGTAAAAGAAAGAGGATAAAATTTGAAAAAAAAACACCAATAATCACTGCAAAAGGCTTATTCATTTTCTTTCTTTACAGGTAATCGATTTGACAGGAAATTATTGAATATTAAATGCCCTGGAGGGCGACCACGTGCTTTCAAAAAGTCACTCCTCCGTTCCCAGAAGGCGCAAAGGGATGAAACTCATGTCATTGAATTGAGCATTTCATACTCAATATCTGACACAAGTTTCATTCCTTAGTTACAATTAGGGGGGCTGGGATGAATTTTCAAACGAGACGCGCTTTCCCCGCGCCACT